AAAATAAATAATACCTTAGTGGAGTCGGCTGGAGTTGATACAGTCGTCGTGCGGGAACCAGGATTGATCCCTGTGACGATAGCACAGGTTCTCTGGTGGGACTTCCAATTCTTCACAATATAGTCCTTTGTCGGCTCGAGCTTTCGCGGTACATTGGGCTGGCATTTGCAGTAAACCTCGTGAGGTGTACCCTTGAGGGTTCCCGACGGCGATTTGACAGTGTTAGGGTCGGACAGGAGCTCTTGGTAACGTTCTTCAGGTGTTGTCTTCTTAGCACGTGGCTTTACTTCCTGGGTTTTTTTGCTTGTTCTACGGATGATTTTTGAGCGCTCTCTGGATGATCTTTGTCATTAACATGAATCTGCTGAAGAGCGTAACTTAGCCAAACCTTTCCTCGTCAGTGTCAAGATCAACGCTACTTGGGCGCTTGCGACTCTTCGCGGGCGTAGAGCTAAGAACGGTGTTCGCCGCAGGTTGTCGGTTCGGATGAGAAATATCACTACGCTCAACCTTTTTATCCGTGGCGTCGGGGGGGGCTGGAGAAGGGCAAGAAGCCAGAATTACCGTTGAACCTGAGTCTGGGCTCAGAGGGGAAGATACAGCGAGCTCGGGTTGATCAAGACCGCTCAAAGGTGTGGGATTGAGGATACTGTTGATAGACATTGCCGCACGGGTCGTCGATGTCGCAGCTGGTTTTGGGTCGTGTGCCTGATCCCCAGCAAAAAAATTGAAATGTTCGTGGGATTCGAACTCTCCTGCCGTGGGCGACTTTCGAGACTATCAAAAGCGATTCTAAATCAATTGAGAAGGACGTACCACACCAAGTCCAGCTCTGTGCATGAATATTTTGAACCAGTCGAGCCGGACCCGTTTGCAGTCAGGCAGTGTTAAAATTGGGGTGCCAAACAGTTTATGCTGTAACGTGTTCGCCGTATATACCCCGCAATGGATATAATCCATTTGAGCGGAGTGGGCTAAGGAGTCACCCAGATTTTCGAATCGGTCGGGAAATTCAGCGGTCAACCACTGTTGGAGCTGAACGATGAATGCGAAAGTCCTGGGTACGGAGCTGCGACACATGGAATCGCCTGAATAGAGTCAGTATATGGTTCGATTTTGCCATAAGAAAGAATACCATAGCCGAATGTCTTGTTCGCAAAGTTAATATAGAACGCAATCCAGTGGTTGTTGTTAACGTGGACCGGAAAGTACATGATCGATTTTCCTGCCTTGACTGCGGCCAGGTAAGGCGCAAAGAATCGTTTTAGATTTCGGCTCGGGGGTCCCTCCGTTGCGAACTGTTTAATCCCAAATTGAAAAGATAAGAAGGCGATAATTGTGGATGGTGAGAGCACTGGATTTTCCGAGACACACGCTTGTATATAATGCATCATGCCGTCAATGTTGTCGCCAGAAAGCCATTCATCGTCGATGAGTCGGGTCCAGTCGAGTTGCCCGACGTGAGCGCCAGGAGCATACACAGAGTCCCAGCCGACATGTTCCAAAATGTAACGCTCATCGTCTGGAAGCCAAAGTCGACTGTCTGACCATTTTTGCTGCGCTTCTCGAAGTTCAACAACTTTCCTAAAAAATGATAGAGTCCACAGAGGAAGACGCAGACTTGGGTCGACTGGATCCACAATTGACTGCGCATCGTTGAGCCAAGCCTGGGAAAATGCGTTTTCAAGGGTGCAAACGAAAGAAAGTGGCGGGATGACAATAGACCAGACTCTATCAGGTGCGCAGTTAGGAGCATCGGAACTGAACCATGAAGTGGTCCGTCGGGAGAAGGCTGAATCGTCGGAGAGGACTTGGGGCAAGGGTATCGAGAGGAAATCGGTAACGGGAATGTCACGAGACGGAAGTTGGCGAATTAATGCGGTGGAAATTTCGCGCGCAGCTTGACATGCCGCCCAAACGTAGGCAGGAATGTTTGAAACGTGTTTTCCGGTACTAATCCATTCAGCTGGGTCAAAGGCAGGTTCGTCGTCCGAATTGAGGTCAATAGGTTCGGATTTCTTTGAGCCAGAACTGCCGTTCCGTGAAGAAGATCCATCTGCAGAAAGAATTAAGTACGTTACGGCGCTCTCGAAGGGATTGATGCACTACCATTTGCCCCTCCAAGGAGGGTCATCCTCAAGTGTAAATGAGACAAGGGCCCGATATCAAGGGCCTCCAGTTCGTCCGAATTGAGGTCAATAGGTTCGGATTTCTTTGAGCCAGAACTGCCGTTCCGTGAAGAAGACCCATCTGCAGAAAGAGTTAAATATGTTACGGCGCTCTCGAAGGGATTGATGCACTACCATTCGCCCCTCCAAGGCGGGTCATCCTCAAGTTTAAATGAGATAAGGGCCCGATGTCAAGGGCCTCCAGTGTGTCCTCCCAGGAAATGCGTCGAGTCTCCACAGTAAAATACAGGTAACTGCGTCCGTCGCTCGGGACAAGCCCCAAGTCAATAAGTCGCTGATAGATTTCGTCTATAGTGGTGTTTTTTGTGACCACTGCCGCAGGAACAAAGTCAGAATCCACAGCAAAAGGGAGCAAGATGCTCAAGACGTACGGATGGGTAAAAAGCCGCCGTTAAGTCCCTTAATGAACACAGTGTATTGAGATTGAGATCTACCACAAGTTTTGTTGACCCGGCGCTGAGACATGAACGAGAAATGGGAGCGATGGCGACGGCGACCCAGAATGAGTGGAATGACGAGATGATAGCGGAAGAACCGAGGAAAGAGTATAGCCGCTGAAAAGCGAGCATATATATTTAAATAATGCGATGAATTTAAAAAAGGGTTTACCGATACAATCCAAAGCTGACCCGGACCAAATGGCGCCGTAAGTTAGAGTATAGGCCAAATCTAGAGGACATTGGTTATTGTAAATGCCCAATTGAGAGCCCCCGAAATATCCGATTGTAATTCCTGCAAGTGTTGGAAGTAGAAAGAGGATTATATTCATGAAAAACCATTGCATCCAGTTGAATGCGACCGCCTCAGGACGGGATTTAAATAGGGTCCCACGCGCTGGTTTCTTCCAGTCAAAAATAATATAATTTGGTGGAAGAGGAGCGTACTTGGCAGATCCTTGCTAGGGGTGCGAACATTATACCGAACTAGGCTCGGGACCATCACGGCGGAAGAGTGTGAATTGCCGTGAGCTTCGACAGGCTTCGACGTGAGTGAAAATTTGCAAAAGCGGTGTAATGTTGTGGTCTGCTTGCCTGCACATTGCCTGCACAATTGAAGCATGGTGCAAAAATAAAAATAAAAGGCGAGACGGGAGTCGATCTCGCGACATAAAACTTAATTTCAAGAAGCACGGTGTATCCAACTGAGCCATGGAAGACAACAATTTTGCCCTTCTCGATAGACTACTACCCAAAAAAATTTTCTCGGGCGGCGCCCGATTTACCTTACCACAGACCGCTGCTGGGTCGCCATGCACTGATTTACCTTATAGGACGGACCGGGAAACCGTCAAATTGGGGGGCTGATTTACCTTATGGCGGAGGTAGTTATAGGGGAGTGTCCGGGGGCCTGCCGTGGCTGCAAATGGTTCGCACCAGATTTAAGCTGGAAGCCGAGCCGAAGCCGTCGAAGCCAGCCGTTTAGGCTCGTCCCCATCCGGAACTGGTCGGGTGATCACGGATCAAAGATCCTCGCTGATGCTCGTTACTCCCAGTACCGGCTGGGCTGCCTTGTCGCGTGTTTCAGTGATGAGTTTTTCCCCTGCTATTTCAGACGTCCGACTTGGTCGAAAAACATCGAAAACACCCCCAAAAGTGTCCCGAAGTGTCTTACTGAAAGATGAATGGTTTTTAATTCTCTATCAGTTGAGCCAAAGTTGTTTTTTGGGTGAAAATGGACAAAACCAAGGCCAGGAAAAATATCCCAGAGAGAAGGAATGCTGAGAGGCACTCCAAGTGTGTTTTAGAAGCTTTAACTAGGCAGAGAAAGGTGTAGACGGAGCCGCAGACCATATATTGTGGGCGGAATCAGTGATTTGATCCAGCCTGAGGAGTGCTTCTAAATATATCTATTTTCACCCAAAAACAAATTTTGCTCATCGGATAGAGAATTCAAAACAGTTCATCTTTCACTAAGGGAGTTGGGGACACTTTTTGGCATATTTTCGATGTTTTTGGGTGAAGTCAAGCCTCTGAAATGGCGGGGGCAACGACGATCACCAAAAGATGCGACAAGTCGGCCCAGTCCGTTGGCAGGATGACCGTCTTGTTTGTATTTGCTCTGATGTTGGCCGTGTTTGCCCTCCGTCCATATCCGTCCCTTCGCCCGAGCCTCGCTCGGTCTTCATCCGCCAAAGGACTGGTTCACGAGTCTACCAGCCGTTTAAAAATGGCTCGGCTGGCTTTTTCCCGTGATGGCTCCGAAACCATCAAAAGCCGAGCCGAGCCAGCCGTAGCCGAGCCGCGGCAACACTACTTGAATATGCCCTCAGGAGGATTCGAACCTCCACTTCCCATTTATCTGCTAGTCCATCTACTTGAACTCAGAATGGGTGGGTGATGTGCCAGTTCATCCACGAGGGGTATTTTCTTTAGTTCGGAACTTGGCTAGGATCTCATCTGTTCACTATTCAGAGCTGCTGCAATAAATAAAAATAACCGGCCACGCGGCAATTGGATGAATCGCACATCATCCATTCCGAAGCCCATTGAGCTCAGAATTGGATGTGCAATTCATCCACAAACGTACCTTTGAACTTGAGAATAATTGCAGAGCTCCTTCTCTCATCCTTTGCTCAGTTTTTATTTGATCTGTTGCGAAAGAGGTAAAAAATTACACGTTACCCCCCCCAGGGGATTCAAACCCCCACTTCCCATTTCCATGCCAGCGACGTCTTCTTCAAAAGTCAGAATGGGTGGTGTGCCAATTCATCCACAAGAGCTGTTTTCCTTACCTCTGCACCTGAATATAAGCCCTTGTTTTGAGCCGTCAGGAGCATGGCAAAAAAAAGAAAAGGTCGGTTTGAAGCACACATGCCCTCAGGAGGATTCGAACCTCCATTTCCCACTCACATCGAGTAGTATTACATCATCACTACCTGTGATGGGTGACTGGCCAATTCATCTACAAGGGCTTATTTTTCTCTACTTCTGAACACAGTTATGCTCTCGCCTTTTCACAGTTCAGAGCTGAAATAATAAAAAGTAACCGGACACGCGGCGCATGAAGTGCACATCATATTCCGAAACATTCAATGGGCTCACACAAGGGTTATTATCCTACCTTTGAGCTTGACTATTTCTCGTATTCTTTATTCAATATAAATCGGATTTCTTGCGAAGGAAGAAAAAAACGCGAGTGGCCTGGGGGGACTCGAACCCCCACTTCCCATTTACCCGTTCTAGACTCTTTAAACTAGAATGGATGATGTACAATAGAGAGTTTGCGATGCAGCCATTCGAGCCATCTGATGGCTGTTTGGCGTTGCGCAAATTGATGGGTAATGGCTCGAATGGCTTCAATACTTGCCCATATTTTTGGAGTCATTGAGTTCCCTCTGAGTTGTCCAGCTCATGTATGGGTATAACAGTCAGATTGTGGGCCCCAAATAGCTAATCTTGTTGAATTTGGAGGTCTCATGCGGTCTAGGGGCATTCCTTAAGCTCCACGTGTGATAACACACTCACTGACACTCATTCTAGCAGAAAAGAGCATACACTGACTTTATTTTATTAGCCATTCGAGCCATTCGAGCCATCAGTTTGCGCAACGCCAAACAGCCATCAGATGGCTTGAATGGCTGCATCGCAAACAGGCTAATTCATCCACGACGGCTATATATGTACTTCTGAACACAACTATGCTGCCATCCCATCCTTTCATATTTCAGAGCTGAAATAAGAAGAAAAAACCGGGTACGCCGCCATTGTAGTGGATTTTGCCCATCACCCATTCTGAGTTCAATAAAACATTCAATAGGCTTCCACGAGGGTTATTATCCTAGTATATCTCCTTCCTCATCCTTTCTGTTTGCATCTGATCTACTGCGAAAAAGAAAGAAGGAAAAAACATTTCATGCCCAAATGCCCCTGGGGGGACTCCAACCACGACTTCCCATTCAGGATTATTTTCACTTTATGCACCCATAATGGGTGATATAGGCACTCGGTATCCTGGTGCATAATTTACAGGCATATGGAAAATAAAGTCGTAATGACAATGCCTGCCAATTGTGCACCCACGAAAACCTTCCAATTCAGGGTGTGTTCAAGCAAATCTGCATCTGAACAACAACTCAGAGTTGAGATATGGTAGAGGATATCAGTCTTACCACGGATTTTGAAAAGCGGATACCCAAGCTCACGGGCGACATCTTGGCTGTAGGGATCAAAACCTTTCGCTTGGTGAAATTCACGGATACCGGTGTAGACAAGATCATCCCAGGAAGTTGTTCGGACAATCATGCGCAGTGTAAATGATGGGAAGCCAAGTCTTTCGGCTTCTTCTGAGCCCAGGCGCTGAGCACCGGATGGATCAAGGGACCAGTATGCTGGGCAAGCTGGATATCGGAATTCTGAGGGGGAATTTCCTTGCAGATCCTGCAGGGGACACAGGAATAGATATCCGCAGGGGATATCTTCGTCGGACAGTCTCAGCCGATAGTGCACGCAATTTATCAATCCTGGTGAATCCATTGCATAAGTGTGAATGAGTTCACCATGTACACCTACCATAGTCGCTGCACCTCGATGGGATCTTGGCACGGTCAATGATGCAATTCGCCTGAGCAAGCCATGCCTCATGGTCCGCCGGTCCGCTGAAATAGCGTGTAAACTTTCTATGCCGAATGTCGCTGGAAATGACCCTGTGAAAGGTCAAAAATGTTGTAAGGTAACAGGTAGAAGCAGCGGCAACCAACCGAGTCCAACCGCTGTGCAAAACCTGGCTGGGCAGGCCCAAAAAAACCCAGCCAAGATCTTCAAACTCAAGCTGGGAATCAGACAAGCATGCAACCTGTTGAATTTCGCGGCCAGCCGGCATGTACACGATGCTCCCCAGGTGGACCGAAGTATTTGAGGAAACCTCCCGAATATTAATATGCCTCATGAGATACAAGCGACATACCGCATGGTACTGTTTCATTGAGATGCCCTCTATGATTTTCGAGTGGTCTGGTGGTTCGAAAACAGATGATGTGCGGACTCTGCAGAGAGACGGTAACCGATTGCGCCATCCATATGCGATCGGATTGCCGACATATCCGGGTATTGTTATGGATATACAGACTTTCCCTACTCATTGATACTCCACTCACGTTGGTTATTTATTAAAGCAATAACGCGGGCACCATTCCTATCAGATATCACGGCGCTTCCCGATGCGTGGGATTTCAACACGAGTCACATGGGTTGTTCAGGTTCCGGAGCGACGTTAGAGTCATTCTGAGGAGATGAGTCACTTGGAGTACTTATGACTCATATATCTAGATAGTTTATATAAACCCGATGTAGCCCATCATGGAGCATCCTATCTTTACTCAATACCATCATCTGCTTTCCCCACCTCACTGCGTGAATTAAGTGAATTCGAAGCAACGCTACAGAGCTTATTAGAACCCACTACGCTACCTTCCAGGTGATAGCTCCACGCTCACCTGGAAGTTAGCGCTTCTGCTGTCCTAAGCAAGTAGTTAGACGGTTTACGCCTGCTTGCACGTCGCTTGACGTATTAAATTACTCAAGCGTCGGCAGTCCCAATTAAACTCAAATCAATTAGTAAGTACTTAAGTGAAGAGATTTTAGAACTAATAACAGGTACTAAATTCGTAAACAAGCTGAATTTACCCGTATCTCTAACAGGTATGAGCTCAATGCAGAGGCGGCCTGTGGAGCATCGTATCCACATCATGCACTCATCATATCCCTGGAGTAATACTAGAAGTGAAAAACGCAAAAGTACCGCTTCAACAAGTTGCTCACCAGACATGTCCCACCACACGATGCCTTATAATAGGCCACCGCATCCTATCAAAAGGGGCCAACTAAAAATGAGAACCGGGAATTGAACAATCCTCGCACACTGAACTCTGTTTCCTATGAGAATATGAGTCAAGAGGGTGAAAGAAGCCCGTGGAGGGATTACTAGGTGGTCCCAGAGATATACAGTCGCGAAATGGGACCCGCGGTGCTTTTCAAATGTTTTTTTCATAGGAACCAAGTCTGTTTATTGTCCTCTCAATTCTTAGATCGGGCAGTGCGGAAGATGCTTCACAAACCATCATGAAACACAGCAGCATGTATACCAGATGAGCTGGCCGTGCCATAAATCTGTACAAAATTCGGATGGCTAGGGCTGAAATTGGAGGCGGAGGCTTTTGCCGGGATGTATTGACCCACCGAAGCCACGAATTCCGGTTAATATACTCCCGCCATTCCTTCCAAATAAAATCAACTCGGATTTAGTAGGGTGGCATGTGAAACCCACCTCGGCATTATCTCCCTGATGCAGGGCCACCGTCATATTCGAATCGATGTCACGAACACGAGCGGAATACATCCGTCTCGCCGCCCTGCGACATACAATCGAGCTGTGGTCCTCTAGGTATATTTCTGCGCGAAGATCTACGTCCCCTATTGGGAGTCGGCGAAAACCTTTTGAATTGTGAAAATCCGTTCTTTTTGGAAATTAACATTTGGAGTCACCGGAGAGAACTGTCGGTACAGGACGAATTATATTAGTGAAATTTCCGCCCGTCACCGCGAAATGCTGTGAATTGGGGAAGAAAGCGCCTAGGGACCTCAGGGTGGGAAGCATTCAGCCTCTCTCTCGAGAAAGTGATGTTGCAGCACGTACTCGCTCTCTGTAGGTTCGTCCTCATCGGTCGATCCGTCAGACTCAATGTGGGCTTCGTTGTCCATGGATGGTGGTGGTAAGAAGGACAGATCTTAAGCGCTGTGACAGCAGTGCGACCTATGAATACGTTCGAAGCTGTGAAGACTCGCCGGAGTTCTCACGATGTAGTCCAATTTTTCTGTGATCCGTGCGCACTGTCAGGAACCAGCCAAAAAGAGAAAGACTCGCACTGCGGTGGTTATTATGCAAGCCTTCTCATGCGCCGATTTATCCGACGGCGGAGAGCCCCTCCCTTGCTATCTTCGTTCGTAGCGCGGTGTGCTTGCGATGGCACGAGCAATGGCGACAGCGGAGGATACCGTAGGGCGTGGTACAAGCATGAGTGGAGGATTGCTGGGTGCTGGCGCGCGCGACGTTCCTCGGTACGCCGTAACAGCGCAAAGAGGGGCGACTTACCGGACGGGCGAGGGGCAGGCACGCAGTCACTTCGGGGGGTGGCAACGTCGCGGGGCGTGCAGTCGCACAAGGAGTGCTGACGTGTGCGTAGCTGCGTCGAGGCTCATTGCAGGCCAGGACATCAGGTCCTGCCTTCGATGCGTATGATAGCGCCGATCGGACGTGATGAAGCGGGAGGGACAGCGCGTGTGGAGTTATCAAGGAGTCGGCACGGCACGGTGCGGAAGTGCGGAGCTCTTGATACGCTGTAGCTGTGGGTGAACATGCTGGATTGATTCACAGACAGAAGCGTCAAGCAATTGCATGTGTGTAGTAGCCCTACCAGCCAAGTTTCGACGGCGCGATGTCGGGTACCAGTACGCGGCATTAAAATCCGTACAGCTCAGCCCGTCCGGTTGGCAGCGTGACTCGGGTAAAGTCGCGGTCGGCGCCACAGCCAGAGCTCGAGGAACGAACGAACCGCATTTTGTCGCGAAAGCAGGTACAAAACGAGCTCAGTGGCAGTGCCCGGCATTATCGATGGATGCCGGACTACGTCGGATGATTTCGGCCGATCTGGCGCGCTTTTTAAACCAATCGGCCAAATCAAGGACAAACTACCTCTTGCACTTGAATGCTATGCAGATTGCCAGTGGTTTATTTATAAATGGGAAAGAGGGTGTTGTACTGTACTATTACAATCAAATCGACAGGGGGTGACGCGTGACCCGAATTTCCAATTCGACAATGACAAACCACCAAAGTTCAATATCGGCAGGTACCCGGAGAGCATTTGGGTAGGTAGGTAGGTAGGTAGGTAGGTAGGTATTGCACGGCATGGTCCCG